AATTTATATATTACAAAAATGAACATCGTGTTAAAAGGGTTGACTATCCTAACACAACTGCCTTAATTCGAATCTATCAAATCTATCCTACTTTGATATCCAGTCTACTTTAATAAGTAGATTGTGGCCGTGATAATCTTCTAACCGCCGTCACGAGAGAGCATATCTGCGCAAAGACCAGTTTTCGCTCATTGTGCGCATCTCTCTTTTTCCCTAATGCTGTCGCCATTACTCGAATCTACGTAATCGGTTATCTCCACTACCTCCAAGTTGGCAAAACGGGTCTGCTCTCTCGTGACGGTGTATACCTTTGAATTCCTAAAAATAATAAATTGTGCAGAGTCATGGTTGCTTTTCTTAGCCACTCCTTCATTTCTAATACGTTTTTCATAGCAATTAGACATTCTTAAGAGCGATTACAATAAATTAAAAGTGAATTAAACAGATCTTCATTTATTAACCGATTTCCAATAATTTTAGGACATCAAGTAGAATTGAATTAGGAAATGCTGTGGGTTCTCGAATGAAACTCGAGAGATGTAGCCTCCTGATTTTATTCCAAACAAAATACTAAAACTAGATCAGCTATATGCTCCCGATGTACACGAATACTTATACGTAGATGTACGAAACGTAACGTGATATCCGCTCGTATTGCACGTCCAGACTAGAACTGAAATGTATACAAATTGTATAACGTCCTCGAGTGGCGCTCGTTCCCTCTATTCGACTGGGTCTTATTTACAATGAAAAGGAGAATCCTGCGATTTTCATCGTCCCCGTTTTTTCAGCTTCAATTCATATTGTCCGTCGTCAGGGCGAGCGTCGTCAATACCGATCGCCTATTAGGATTCACACCCAAGTTCTCCCAGTTTATCCACGAGAGCCGTGCTGTCAGATCTGGAATAGCATGAGAATAAAATTACTCTTAATTATAATTTGTCAAATTTAATGGCAATTGTTTTATAAAAATTTATAATAATTATTTCTATTGCTTCAATTAATTTATTCAATTTATATAATTTTCAATGAATTAACTATATTTGATTGAGTTTATTTTTAGTAGAATTTGTTTCCTCACCGCTGGTGTTCCACTCGGCACGCTCGCCATTGATTTCGCCTCTGAGGCATCTTTCGACGTAAGTGAGCGGGTCGAGTCGGGCAGCCAACACTTCCCTGAGAAGAGCGATGTATGCTATGGCTAGGCGAAGGGTGTCGATCTTCGACAGTCTCTTCTCGTATGGGAACGTTGGCACGTGGACTCGTAGCTCGTCGAAAGCCGAGTTGATGCTGCTAAAAATCGCAATCACCGTTCTTAACACTAGAACTAACCGTGAGAACTGATAGTGTTGTATACTAATGATATTTAGTATTTAAGTTAGTATATCAACGATATTTAGTATTTAAGTTAGTATAACAATGATATTTAGTATTTAAGGCAGTATATCAACGATATTTCGTATTTAAGTTAGTATACCAACGATATTTAGTATTAAAATTAGTATACCAACGATATTTAGTATTGAACCACCCACCCACGATCTAATGAAAGAAGNATATGAGAATGTAAAATCAGATAAAAATTAATAAGAATTAGGAGTTAGATGTAAATTCAGATTTTTGGTAAAGCCAAACATCTTCATAGGACATGAGAATATAAAATCAGATGAAAATTAGGAATCAGATGTAAATTCAGATTTTTGGTAAAGCCAAACGTCTTCCTAAGATATGAGAATGTAAAATCAGATGAAAATTGATAACAATTAGGAGTCAGATGCAAATTCTGTTTTTTGGTAAGAACAAACGTCTTCATAGAACAGAAGAATTTAGAAGGAGATTAACATCGAGCATACCTAGTGCAAGCGACAGTAGAATCAGCCGCTCTGGAAGTAGTGCCGACCCTGTGCCTCATCCTCTGACTCCTATCCTCATACTCAAAACTCGAATGGCTCGCCATAATTGCTCCTCTTCACCAGCTCATTAATCCCACTCACTTGCAACCCTTGAATAAATATTTCTCAAACCCCCAAGGATCCACAGCAAGGATTCACTTGTTTCAAGTCGATCAACCAACCAATCAACCAACCAAATCTTATAAATATATTTTTTAATCAATCGAAACTATGAGGCCCGAAGTCACTTCACGGTAACGGCGACGACCGATGCGGAGGGTGTCTGACTATCGCTGGTGTCCCTGGGGAGTCTGGTTTATATAGCTAAGGAAACCGAAGCTGCGAGGGGATGATCGATGCAACCCCTGGGCGGAGAACCCGACCAATCGCAGTAACTCCCAGTCGAAACCTACCCTCTAACTAACTCTGCCATTGGTGGACGTCTCGACGAGACTGCGGTTTATTGTTACTGCCTGGCTGAAATTTTATTTCCATCGTTTTCACCCTCCACCCACCTGGGAACGGTGGAAACTAGGGATGAGGGCTATCTCCACTATTTGGCTTCCGGATATCTCTCCTTAAAACCGACGATTTTAGTTGAATTATTTTTCACTATGTTTTTTATGTTCCGGTAAATGATGGGATGCTACAGCACAGATTTGTTCACACTTTTTACCAGTTGGTGGTTTTAATTGGATTTCAGTTTATAGAGTTGTGTAACAAATATGGCTATCAATGAATGTCTTTCTTCATATTCGAATAGTATTTGAATATTTTATGAAAA